GCTTTGGGCATGTTTTTTTTATGAGGGTATAACATTATAGCATGATATAAAACTCAAAAAAGTTTATTTTACATGATATGCCCCTTTAATTAAAAAAAATCGATACAGGGCTTTTGATACAGTGTCGTGAAATGAAATATCGCGATTTTTCAGTTTGATATTTTCTTACACCGCTATTAGCGAGTAGATTTTTTTTCATTCTTTGTTTTATTTCTGCTGACAGAACAAATGTGTCGTCTCACCTTCCCCAGGATGGACTGACCGATCTTCTTCTGCAGCAGAGCGCTGAGGCGCTCCACCTCGGTGGCCACRCAGGAAGGCCTGTGCACATGAGCGCGAGACGAATGGAAGAAGCTCCACTTCTCCTCTGTCAGCTGAGGGCGGGGCGGGGGAAGAGAACAAAATTAGAACTAGTTAATGACAAACGTGGGATCTGAGCTTGAAGCACTTAAATAAAAACACGAGAAAAAGAATGCAGACACAGAAAGCAGTTATGGCGAAAAATGCGTAAGCTGGATGGCAAAGTCAATGAACTGGAGGTAGATGGCGTTTCTGTTCCAAAAATCACTTTTTTTTGTATTTTACAATCTGCTGTAATTAGTAAAAATGCGGGCATGAAAACAGCAACAGCTCATTAATCAACTGTACAAGTCATGGTGCGTTATCAGCAAAGATAAAGCAGAAAGGCTGCTTCAACAGCAAGCTTTCAAGCCTCTGTGMAAATAATCACCGCTTCGTTGTCGGGACTTTGTGAATATAAGTTTGCAGAAACTCTTGGAGGAGCTACCATCTTCCTCTAGTGAGGGGGAAACAGAGAAGATGAGGAGGAGCTGAACTGGAGGAGAGCTGAGAAATAACCAGTTGATGTGAGAAAAAGGAAAGATGATCATCGGGGAAGCAAATGTTGGGTTATTTGATTAAAAACAGAACGGTTACGATGGATGTGAAGATGACGTTTACACACATTTATTTTTGTTTGTTTACCCTTCTGATACTGTCGTCATCCGACTCAGAAAGCGTCCTGTGGTAGCGGTGATGGGCCTATGTGATGACACGACATGCATATCAAAACCTGCTGGCAGGAATCGTGAACAACCAGGGCTCTAACTAATTTAAACTACCAGRTAAGAAATAATAAAACACAAATAACTGGTCAATGCATTCATAAGGAGAAAGACAGCACATCTGCATGTTTTATAACTAATTTGTCCTCTTCCGACTGCAGTAAAACCAAACTTGACCAAAAGAAAAAAAAGGATTTCACTGGCAGGATTTACCCCGTCTATGTGGTCATTTGGATCCCCTTCACTTCTCCTCTCGCTGGGGTAACCACTGTCTCCACCACTTTCTGAATCCTGCAGGCAGCAAAACAAAACTTGTAAGATRTTTGGTTAGACTTTGGAACCCAAAAAAGACCACCTGATAGATTAGAGCTCAATCGAAGAAGGTATAAAATATCAGCTTATTTTACTGTATTTTTCAGATTACAAGTAGCACTTTTTTATAGGCTGGTCCTGCGACTTCGAGTCAATATGTTTTTTTTTCCTATTAAATGTTGACTAACATGAACCAAGGCCTAAACATTACCATTTGCAGCCATGAGAGGGTGGTCTAGGCTTGTGACAACTATGGTAGATGTTGTTCCTGTCCACTTTAAAAAAAAATGCAGCCCAAAAAAAAAACGATAATCGAGCAGCAAACAAAAAGTTTGGAGTGAATGAAAAACTTGTGAAGGACTAGAAAAAACAGGTTACTCTTACTGCAATGCAGACAACAAAGAAAGCTAATCATGTGATATGGAATGAGACCGGTGAATTTACTGCTAACTTGCTTGTCAGACTCGATGACTTGTTATGTTAACTAAGGCTAGCCGGCATCCCTGGTATGTCCTCCATGTGTTACTGTGTTATTCCAGATCAAATGTCCGTGCTTAGACTTTGTGAGAYAATTTCTAAATAAATGCAAGTTATAATCAGATGCACGTAGTCTGGAAATTATGGTACTTTCCTTAATTCAAGTTGAGAGTTCAGTAGTTATGAGGCTCAGAAAACTCCAGATCAAGTTGTAAAAAGCAACAAACTCATTTTTTCTAAGGCTTCCTGTTTAATGTTGTGTTGACGCTGCAGCAATCAGTTGCTGCAGTTTTCTGCCACCTGGGGGCAGTGTTGACAACATAACAACAACTGCAACTTTGTCCWGATCAGATAAAACAATCACCCTCTCACATGAACTATGGAACATTTTGTTCGAATGTCCTGTCGGGGAAAACCCTGAACTTGTTTCGAGTGCTTTGAGACGCTCCGCCTTTCTCAAACGAGACCAAACGCACCTCAAACCTGACAACAAGAGCGTTGGGCAACAGCRGCCTCGCCCAGCAGGAAAATGCAAGAAACACCTACAGGAACTCAAAAACAATACGAAACTAAAAAAAAATCAAAGAGATTTGGATGATTTGTGATTTGCTCTTTTTATATTTTTAGAGTTCTGCATTTTTAGCCTCTTTTCTGAGTTTTTCACGACTCAGCATTTTCACTGTATTTTCTGTACTTGTTTTGTTTTACTGAGCCAGTGGGGAAGGCACAAAAGTCAGCGCAGCTCAAAAAGAAAAACCTTCTTATGACCGCCTATTGGCTCCGAACATTGTCAGCGGCTCTTATGAACACATTCATTGTTGCTCTGGCCTCAGCTGTGGTCAGCCTTTCAACAAGCAAAGCCTCATTACCCAGAGGGTCAGAGTGCTGTTTGTTTCCTAAAGAACTGCACACAAGCAAACGGCCGCTGCTGAAATTAGCTGCATTCCCATAATCCTTCCTATGTGGGGGGAAAAAAAAAAAAGCTGCGCAAACAAAGCCGGAATAACGAGGCACGACCCGCTCATCACGAGCAGATTACTGGAGTTTGTAAACAAACAGCTCGTGTGTAAAAATGGTGGGATACGGTTACCTTGTGTTCACTTGTGTTGTTGTTGTTGAGTCGGTCGTGTTCGTATGTTCCAGTGAGAGACACGCCTGGAAAGGTAAAAAAAATAAATAAATAAATAAATGAACATCAATTTCTCAGGGTGGGCTGCTTTTTATTTGCAGTAAAATGAACTTAAAAGGGTACCTGAAGGGGACCTGCCCATCGGCCCGCCGGCCACCAGGGGACAGAAGGGCAGGGTGAGAGGCGAGCAGGGGATGGAGTCCACGTCGCTCGCGCTCTCCTCCGCAGACGAGGTCTCCGACAGGCGGGACAGCAGCGGGGGAGCCCGGCTCGCCGACAAGGTCCGAACTCGAGGCGAGCCGCAGACCTCCTCGCAGCCCCTCAGCACCGTCTGGGCCGACTTCTGGGAGCAAACGAGACGAAACTTAGGTGAAGGGAGACCGGACGGAGGCGCGTGTGTCGTCGTCTCGATCCTGCACCTGAGTCGGGAGTCAATTTTTTTTTTTAAATCAAAGTGTTAAAATTACAAGCAGCTTGTTGGTGCCGTCCAGCTGGGAGGTCTCTGCTCGGGCGAGATCGAAAGGCGTCAAACCCATACTCTTGCAGATCTTGTTGCACAGGTGGGAGTGGAAGAACAGAGCCATGCCTCGCACCCCTGAAACACAGCTCTGATCAGGGGGAAGCTTCTCCAGTCACATCTGCTGAAAGGRAAGCGGTACRTCGAAGAAACCGGTACCTAGATTTCCATCTCCGAAGTCAGTCCCCTTCTCTGTGTGGATCTGAGGGTCCGTGTAGAGGTCTCCGACTCCCTGGATGTCAACCACGATCAGCTGGTGGCCCGACCGCTCRAAGGTGAAGTGACTGAAGGCCTGGTGGGCGAAGGACGAGGAAAGTTGTATCGCACAGTCATACGAGGGTCTGTTTTCTTCCTGGACGCCGGCGTCACTCACCTGAGGGGTCAGCCGGATGGTGTCGTCTCTCACAAAGCCGGAGTTGGAGTTGTATTTGATGTACTTGCCCTCGATGTAATGCTCCAGGTGGAAGAGGGGTTTGCCCGGTCGTTGTGCCATCTCCACCACACACATCTGCATGATGTCCACCTAAAAAAACAGTTTGGATGAATCAAGGATTAAAGACAAAAAAAAACAACTCTTTTACTCAAAATATGCACGGAAATGCAAAAGGGCTATTAAAGTTTGTGCTAAAAAGCTATTTAGGAGGAAAACTAGAACTCAGACAAAGCATTTATTGAAAAATTTGATTTTGGACCAATCCACTACCTGTTTGGGGGGTCTGTGGCGGTTGTACTCCTCCCCCCAGAGTTTGGCCTCCATCTGCAGCCTGACGTCCTCGAAGTAGACGTCTCTGTCCACCGTCTCCATGTAACGCTTCGCCACATAGTTGGACGCCAACTTCCAGTTGCTGCTGTGTGAGAAGTTAGACAACTTCTTCCTGGAGGGAAAAAAAACAGACACTGAAGAAGCAACCGCATGTGTTCGGACTATTAGAACTTAAAATAAAATAAATAAAAAYACCCCCGAGGCTTTACTGAAACACATGAAGGAATCCTTTTTTTAACAAGAGGATGAGTTGGAAGGGATTCCAGATGTGGTCAGTGTGAGCCTGGTTCACACAGGAACAACTGCTTCAAATTCATTTACAAAAAATGATGTTCTCTAATGTTAGGACCTTACATGTTGAGTCAAATCTTGTGTTTTTAGGGGCTTTTACTGAGTGAGAAGCACCAGGAGTGGTTTTAAATGGATCCTCTTTGTTATATTTCCCACAACTAACACCTGTTTTATCTGTTATTTATTTTTGTCACTCAGACGTAGAGTTAAAGATAAAACATCACAGGATCTATTTTCATCACAACAATAAAAATCTGTTAGTTTGAACCCCACGTGCTAAAATTAGTGCGTTACTATGAAATACTGCATGTGCTAGCTGCAGGCCTCTTCAGTAAGCCGTGTAAAGAATGTGGGTCAGCAACTTAATTCTGTTTAGTTTACACTGACTCAACATCGTTATTTGTTACAAGAGGAAATGAGGGCAACGACCTCTGGACGAGATGTGGTACAATAAGGAAAAATATTTTTGGCTTACGCTCTGAAGCACTCCCTCATGGCCCCTTTCCCAAAGGACTGTGAGAAACCAGACAGAAGCGAGGAAATCAGATGGGATCAGACAGTGAAAGTCAGAGCTGAAGGATTTTTAAAGCAAGGGAAGTCATACCTGTGCTGCCATTTTGATGTGAATCTGGTCTTGAGCCCACTCCCCTGTGATGGCATTGTACCTGAAAAGATAAAGAGCTTCATTGAAAAATTATAATTTTTTTTTCTGTTTTTTCCCCCTCTTTGTGATACTTTAACAAATTATATTTCTAAATAGACTGCTGGAGATCTGCAACAGGCCCCCAGCCTACCTGATTCAAAACATTCAGCTCATTCAGAGCATGGGTTTTATTCCTTTTATGCTAACTTTTAGATATATCTTTTTATACTTTTAGCAAACCTGTTGCAACATTTAGTTTTTAGCTAGTCTTTTTCTACATTTACTTTTAGCTAGTGCAATTGTTATTTTTAGCTTTTAGCTAGTCTTGTGCTTCTTTATTCTTTTGTCTAGCTTTTTGATTATTTTAGCTAAACCTTTGCTACATGTTTTTTATCTAGTCTTTTGCAACAATTAGCTTTAAWGTAGCATTTTGCCACTTTTGGCTGTTAGATAGCATTTTGCTTCTTTTAGCTAGTGTTTCCTTTTAGCATTATGGTTAGTGCTTCAAAAAAATGCAATTTCTCCAGTACACATTTAAAATTAGGCTAATAATTTGGGRTGGGAATCTTTTACTCTCACGATTCGATTCAGATTTTTGGGGTCACGATTCTATTCAAAATCTTTTTTTTTTTTCATTTAAAACTCAATGTGAGCCCATTTGTCGTGTTCCTAAAGAGCTTCGTCTTCATTTTGCAAATTTTGCACAAAGTGAAGCTCAGACTCATTTGGTAAAAAAGAAAATGAGCCCAAATCTTTGCATTCAATGCAGACAGGGTCAGTTGAATCTCTCTTTCCTCCAGTTTTGTAGTTTCCTCTTTGTTTTGGTGCTTTCTGCGCATGCAAACATTCCAGAAACAGCCATGTGACGTCACGTCAGGACGTCACAAGTGGTTACAAAATGGAGGTTGACAATATATATTGACGTTGGGACATTTTAAATCTATTCTGAATCTTTGTAAATGATAATCACAATGATAAACAACGATTTTTTTGGTGCACCCCTACTAATAATATGCCTGAACTTATTTTCATCCTGATGCAATGTCATACAAAAAAAATGCATGACGCAATAAACATTTGCTAAAAGACCAGCAAGACTGCAAATAAAAACATTGTCATTTGTTTTAATGCTAGTTTTTACTGTTTATTAACCTTTTTTTTCCAAAATAAAGAAAAAGAAAAACATTAATGTAGGAACTGTAAAAACACAACTCTTTGTCTGTGTGATTACATATATTAAAGTAAAACTGTAAAAAATGTAATCCCTGCTGCCTCCCTGATAGCTTAAAGGACTTGATGTTGACAAACAGCAGACTTTCAAATCTCAGCCAATCAAAAACCAGCTTTCAGAGAGGCGTGTCTTAAAGGGGAAGTAGGAACTAGAATGAATGAACTGAGGGCCAATAATAATAAACTTAACTATTATTAAACTGTATAACTGAAGTTTAAAGTAAATATGTAGACCAGAAAATTAGCAATAAAGTTAGGGTTGTTTTTTTTTGCAAAGAAAAAATATTTCTGCATTTTTCAAACTTGGGCTTTTATAGTAATTTTTGAAAACCCTTCATTTCCTTTAGAATAAGTATTACATCTTTGTAAAGGGCTGTTTGTACAAACAGAGCAGCTAAACCTTTAGCTGTTCTCCACCTGTTGAATCTCTTATCACAGGCTTGTCACACCACTGGCCTAGTTTCCTCAGACCCACTGCTTTCCCTGTTTCCTCACTCAAGTCTCAAACTAAAAGGAGCAGCAGGACTCGGTCTCATTTGTTTGCCAAGTGAAAGAGTTTTTCCCGCAGCTCGTTGTCTATTCAAATCAAGTATCTGCAAAAAGCATAGAGTTTCCTGTAGACGGAAAAAAACAAGAGGACTTAAAACAATGAGGTGTGTTCTCTTTTTTCCCGATAAAAAGGTCATTTAAACCCTTTATACTTGGAGCTTCGTGCATTCCAAACAGTGACAGAGTTATCTCTCGGSGTCAGTGCATGTGTTTGGATTGGAAGGGTGTGTGAGTCCCGGGTTTATGAACACCACATTATCTATCTACCATTAGTCAGTGGCAGCTAACAGGCTGTTTTCCTTCTCCTGCACGCTGGAAAATAACTTTTCCAACATCTATCCCTCACTTCTACTGCTGGCATTTTAAGTAGGGTACACAGAGTTCCACAGCTTTCCTGAGTGCAGAGAGGGGTGAGGTTACACAAGGGGTAAATTTAGCCCTCAGAACGAGCTCAGCAGGGCAAATCCCAGCCTCGGACAATCCCTCCTCCCTGACCAAACTCTTATGTAATGGGATCTCGTGCTTCGCTCACACCCAGGTCCGAACCCGTGAGTTTTTGACGCCATCGCTTCACGATTTAAAGAGGCGTGTTTGTTTATTTTAGCCATTGACTGGTGGCTAAATATCTGGGCGCACGCTCGGTACGAGATAAAAACAGGGCCGACGAGTCAAAAACATCAAKTTTTATAATGCCCTGGCTGGGCAGCGTGGTCGTGTTTGCCAGCGGCGACAACACACGAGCCGAGGTGACGCCTTCGCACACCCATCCATCCGTATCGATTTCTGTGAATGTGTAAAAAAGCTGAGAACTGCAGGGACAATCGTTAAATCAGCTTTTCTGCAGTGACCAGCTTGTAGCATTGACCCAAAGGTCAAAGGTCGGCTTTTCACGAGACGCATAATGTTGCAGAAACAGATTGTTCTGAAAACAAAGAGGATTCAAACATCTAGATAAACATGTCTGCAGAACTAGCGTTAAAAACAACAGTGAGCAAACTGCATCATTTTAGTCTTAAAGGGCCTGTGACATCAGATTTTTGTTATAAACATGACTGCGTTTTTGGAAAGGGAACATTGATAACATGATGCAAAACAAATTTCACGCCGCTGACATCAACGGTTATCGAGATATTTGCGTGTGAAGAAACAGGAAGTGATGTCAAAGGGGAATGTCTGCATGTAAACAGAGCGTTGTAACAAAAGCTAACAACACAGACTGTAGAGAAGAATCTGATGTTTCTTTACATTATTTTTAGTTGCTATCAAAGAGACGAAGAAGAGTGAAAGTTTAAATAATTTTGTTTTAATAAACAAAGACCAGAGTTTATTTTATTAGCGCATCCCCMTTTTATGTCACTTCCTGTTTCACTTCGACTGAGCCAAATTCAAAAGAAAATATGCCATTTTTGAGACTAAATGGGTCAAATCGTGTGTACTATACCAATTTTCTTAAGTATAAAGACATTTTCTTTGACTTTTTGTATTTGAAGGATAGGCCTGTCACAGGCACTTTAAAGGAAAGCCTGACTGGTTGTAATATTAGACATTATTCTATAAACATTAAAACAAAGCACCCGATATCAGTCATACCTGTAACGAATGCACGGTTCAGTCGCGATCTCCTCCAGGTGAAACTGTGCCCAGGGGTCCGGCATGGCTCGGGCCTTTTCAATCGCATGTATCCACGCCGCCTGTCACAAAAACAAAAGCAGGCCCTATCCGCCATCAGTCACATTTATTCCAAAAGAAGTCGTCTACTCAGGTCTGACAGAACACAGAAGAAGAAAGAAGGGAAAGTTGTTCTTCGCAAAGCTGGTTAATTTGCACTGAAAACAGAAGAAAAAAAAGTGAATCCTTGCATGTGTTTGCTCTTTACTTTCTACAAGGCTAATGAACAAATTTAATAATAAATTTAAAAAAAAACAAGGATAATGGTGAATTAAAATGCACAGCTTCTGCATTGAACGGTTTCCCCTCATTCTTTGGATTATTTGCATTTAACCAGGGGAGGGTGAGAGTGCAATCATGCAAAAAAAAAAGGATTTAAAAAAAAGATTGAAAAAAGGATGATAAAAACAAATGAAAATTGAATAAATCAACAAAGGGGTTGTGTAGAGATCTTTGCATTTCAAATGAAGATGTGTCAGGGGACTATTTTGTCTTAAAAAAAATGATAAATAATGGTGCTGGAACTTGTGTCACGAGTGATCTAAATCTGACCAAGTTTGGACACGTTCTGCACGATGCAGCAGCACGTCTCCCTCGTATTTCAGCTTCAACTGTCCGGCGTTTATATTTAGAGCGGCTGATTTACGCAAAGACAGTACGTTTGGGGTCTTGGGTTAAACTGAGAGAGGGTCACGTTACAGTTACTGAAACGAATGTAAACACTTGAGTTGTTGCTGAGTTAATACTTAGGGAAGATATTTTGACTAAAAACCMTTTAAAGACTTGACTTATGGATGAAAAAACATAATGACAGATTAAAAGTTGAGCATTCCTTGCTCGATGTCTTGCAATGTGTAAAGTGTTGTGAATGGTTCTCAGCTACACAAACTCACAAAAACATCACGGCCCTCTTCGCCCTCCAGCCACCAGCTATCTGAAAATATGGATTTGTACTGAAACATACATCAGTGTGGGGGGATGGGAAACGATAGTCGGTGAAGGAGAATGTACCAAAGCAGAGAAAAGGACAGCAAATTACAGAGCGGGGGAGTGAAGAATGAAGAGGGAGAAGGTTAGATGTAATCGGATCGGGAACATACCCGTGCGCTCTCAGACAAAACAGTGTACGTTCGACGTTCTCCCTCAGTTTCATGCTATTTAAAACAAAAACAGAAAACGGATCATCGGTTAGCAGCATTATTTCAAACATTAACTGCCTTAAACAGCAACGACACAACAAACACAAATGAGCCATTCATCTGGAAAACAACGTGTCGGTGCACGGTGCTTCTGATAAACACTGAATCGGGCCATTATGCGGAGCTGCAGAGACCGAGAAGTGCTTGTTTACACAGCG